ATATTGCATTGTTTGCATTGTGGAGCCACAGGAGGTCGTACAGATGAGAGAGCACTGTACCATGCTAAGGAGGTGGGGCAAGCGTTCTGATTGGCAGATCGCCTGCCACTCTCCATGCCTAGCCAATGCAAACTTGAGGTTTCTGGTGACAGCAAGAGAAAACATAGGCATTAAAGAAACAGAGCAAACAGAAAGTGGCATTAAGAAACAGAGTCGGGGCATTATGAGGGAGGGTCCGTGATTCCAGCAGCCTGCAGCTGTCTTATAGGTACATTAATGCAGCAGCCAGGTAAAGTGTCTTAATCGCTTAAACACCCCCCCCACCCCCAACACTTCTAATTGCTGCCAGTTATTTTCTAGCCCCCATGCATCTCCCTGTCTCAATCCGCAAATTACGGCTGTTACTGAAAAGGATCATCACAGGCTGCTTAAATTAATCAACCTAAACGACGTGCTAGCATCAGCCTCTGCTATCATCTTGAATGATGGCGTCAATCAGAGATAATTGTGAGTGGCACTTTAATACTGTTTGGGGTGCTGGCACAGTTGCTGCAAGGGGGTGAAGTTCTGCCCCCCTCCCCACCCCCCCGGATGTATGGGCGTAATTTCTTGAAGTTCTGACATCCTCCTGTCTTTGGAATGCATTAAGCAATGTAATCATGGACAGCCAGCTCCAGGAGGTGGGGGGGGGACTTAGCATATTTATGCAGGCTGGTAAAAACTGTATGTGAGCACAGAAAAGTCCTTGAGCAAAAAAAAAATATCTTTGTCTTGGTCACTTGACACATGGAGGTGTGGTCTCACATGACAAATGGAGGCGTGGTCTCATGACACATGGGGGCGTGGCCTCACATGACAAATGGAGGTGTGGTCTCATGACACATGGGGCGTGGCCTCACATGACACATGGAGCTGTGGTCTCACATGACAAATGGAGGCGTGGTCTCATGACACATGGGGCGTGACCTCACATGACACATGGAGGCGTGGTCTCATGACACATGGGGCGTGGCCTCACATGACAAATGGAGGTGTGGTCTCATGACACATGGGGCGTGGCCTCACATGACACATGGAGGCGCGGTCTCATGACACATGGGGCGTGGCCTCACATGACATATGGAGGCGTGGTCTCACATGACAAATGGAAGCGTGGTCTCACGTGACAAATGGAGGCGTGGTCTCATGACACATGGAGGGCGTGGTCTCACATGACAAATGGAGGCGTGGTCTCATGACACATGGAGGTGTGGTCTCACATGACAAATGGAGGCATGGTCTCATGACACATGGAGGCATGGTCTCACATGACAAATGGAGGCGTGGTCTCATGACACATGGAGGCGTGGTCTCACATGACAAATGGAGGTGTGGTCTCATGACACATGGGGCGTGGCCTCACATGACACATGGAGGCGTGGTCTCACATGACACATGGAGGCGTGGTGTCACATGACTCATAGAGGTGTGGTCTCACATGACACTTGAAGGCGTGATCTGCATAGGCCAAGGGAAGATGATACCTCAGGGCAGGAGTACAGTGCAGGGCAGCCAATAACATCTCTTGCCTCAGGTGAAATATTCTTAGATGAATGGTCCTGGTGATGACAGAAAAGAACAGCAACATAAAAATACAAATTATTTCTGCCAGATGGCCACAGATCCTGGGTTTGACGAACAGCAGGGGAATTTCCTAAAGAAGAATACCAGCAAAAAAAAGAGATGTGACTGACAGACGTAGAGTCTACGGCTGTTTGTTACTTTGTGTGTGAAAAGTAAACAGGCATGGGGGGGGGGGCACTATCTCACCTTCAATCATAGCCCTTTCGGTTCAGAGAAGGTAATGTCTACACCGCGAGGGGGATTTAGGGGAAAAAATACATCCACAAATTCTCCCCCTCCCCCCATCAAGAAAATGGGAATGTATAAATAAGCAGGCAGCCTCTCGCAGTTCTCTGCTCTTTCCAGCGTCCACGCGGCCCGGAGTCAGTCGACAGATCCAGGTCTCCTGTTCCCACTGGAGATCCATTACAGTACATTACAGTCCAGCATCTCAGCAGCTTCATGAAAAGTGGATGAGAGCTACAAGAAGCAGATGTTACATTCCACACCTTCATTCCAAATGCCTGCTACGACTATGCAAAGTGGCGTGATGCCATGGTTACGGATGCAGGACCTGTGACCAGAAGGTCTCAGGTCCCAGAGGATCTGCCCTGCTTGAATTATACAATGATTTGTTTCACTGTTTCAATAAATACTGAATTGTTCAAGCGTCTAGATGTGTCAAATTTGAAACTTTGTACCTTCCTTGGGCTAAAGATGCATAACCTTGTGAATAACAGAGGTGATTTATGTGCTTGTGACGATGTTACTGAAGGCACATGAGCCTCCTGTGTGATCCATTCCTTGGCATTCCCTGAAACTGTCGCCTGGTGTTTGTGGGACACTAGTCATGCCTTGTCTCATCTCATCTCCCCCGCAACCTCCAGGACCTCCTTAAGCTCGGGAAACATCATCACCCTGTCCGGGGCAGGATGCATTAAGGTATTTCAGGCTCACCAAATCAAGAGTCATTCTTGCATGCATGCGAGTGGGCTCAGTCTAGCATTGGAGAATAAGCTGTCGCCTCGCAGGACGAGGGATTACATTTGCATATATATGAAATGTACGAGGTGCAAATGGCAGATAGAGGAGGCGATGGTGCCTGGAATGCAGTCTTCCAAGCTTCGATCGCTGGCCTCCACAGAAAAAGGCTGCGGAGTCTTCAACCGGGCTGTTAGCCAATAAGAAACAGCGCAGTCCAGCAAAGCCTTCAGTTCAGCAGATGAATGCGTGTGGATGCAGAAGAGTTTTATCCTCTAACTAGACTCAGGGGAATCACCCTGCTTGTTATTGGAGGAACAATACAGGCAAAATAGTTCTTATGGAAGGACAAAGTGTTCTGACACACATGTAGACCAACAATTCCCCTAAATACAAGTTTTTTGCTGAGTGTGACGCATCAGAAGGGTTTGGGGAGTAAACAAACAGGAAGGTAATGGTTAGAGTTCCTTTTCTCCTTGAGACACACTGGTGAGGCGTGTGCCGTTGACTTACCTGGTTTTAATTTGATCACACTCATTATTTGGTGTTGTGATGATATGACCAGTGTGCTGATAGATACCAAGCTCTCTAAACAGGTAGAACCATAAAAGTAAGCTCATGTTAAATGTGTCGGCCCATCTGTCTTCTAGCTGATTATCCAGGTCGCTGAATGTGAAACGTCATTATGAGATGAATCCATCACTCATAAGAGGAAGCCTGAGCTCCGGAGTTTATCAGAGATGGGTGATCCGGGGGGGAGTCTGAAAGAGACAGATGACAGAAAATAGGGTTAAAGGCAGACTCAAAGTGGGGGGAGCAGCAGTTCACATCTCTGGGGGGGTTGGTGTGTAGCTCAGCTAGCTCTCTGTGCTTCTGATCGGTAAGGACGCCAGTTCGAATCGCAAACTCGGCATGTCTCTCTTAGATTCTTGAACAATGTCCTTAATTCCCCAAAAATGTTCTAGGAATGGTTGATGGATGACTGATGCTGTGCTCTGACCCCCAAGCTCTGCCCTCACCTGTGTATCATTTTTGGTAGCCCCTATGATAGCTCACTTGGTAGAACGGAGAACTTTAGTGGAAACTGAGTTGACATCCTTAGGTTTGAGTCCACCATGAAGGAGGCAATTTTGGGCAGTGTGTGACTCGGATAGGAAGGATGTCGTACCTGTGATCGGTAGGTTGCTGGTTCAAATCCCAAGATCAGCAGAATGATTCCTCCTTTAGGGCCTGATCAAGGCCCTAAAGCTGCAGTTACTCCAGGGACTGTCTGACCCTGACTGTTCAGTTGTACATTGCTTGCAATAAATGCAACCGCTAAATAAATAAAACATAAATGCTAGTGTGCATGTCTTTAAAAAAGAGCACAATATCTGAAAAAACACATTCCCCTGTACCTGTACAAATGGCAAACATAGCCCCGTTTCATAAAGTTTGCATTAACAGTACCAACATTGTAAAGGATTGGAATGAAAGTCTTCCTGTTATTGAGTCAATGTCCCATCACGTACTGATGAAGAAGTTCTGAATTCTGTGTATTTTTTATTTTCTAAAAAGGGGGCACACTTTCTGTGCTGTAGCTCCTTGGTATGGCTACCCAGCTTCCACTAGTTTGTCAAACACATAATTCAGCGTGAGGATGATTAATCTGAGGCCATGAGAAAGAGATCGAATCTTTTTGTTAAACTGCCAATGAAACAGAGCCCAGAAAGTGAAGTAATTTTTCCCCCTCTCAAAAAATGTCACCAGGAACATCACGGGTGATCTAACAGAATAATGACTCGAACCACACATCTTCTGCCGTCGAATGGAGTAAAAAACCGCCAGTCAAGCCTTTTAAACATAAAGCACGTCCTGGTTTCATTCGGCTGGCCGCAGAGACAGCCGCCATAGGGGCCACCAAACCCATCAGAACCTTTGCTGCGAAGCCCCACGTTTAACGGACCACATTCTACAAAGTAATATAACACAGGACCCATAACTTTAACTGAGATGGATTTCGTTGCTTTCGTCATTTACGATAAATCTGAATGTATAATGAAAGGACAATATTTTTGTATTTATTAAGTGTGTATCTTACTATTTATTTACAACAGCTACAGCAGTGGATCCAGACAGTTTGAGTCTCAGGATCCACTTTATCCTTTGGCAACGATACAAGTTGTTACCCGATGGGGGGGGGCCGTGGTCTGGTAAACGTTGTCAACGGGGGGTGGGGGCGGAGCCATAATTTGACCTACTAGTTAACAAACACCGAATCTACAGCAACACTTGCAAATTCACTACAGTTAAAATGGGAAATTGCAGGTGATAAGATCACAGTGGGCACACGGCCAGTAGTCACATTGTGAAAGGTGGTCACTCCGCACAGTGTGGCCAGTGCTCTGACCCCTTGGCTGTCCATGTGGCTCTTCCAGGTAGAGCGCCGGACAGCTGTAACCATGAGGGGGGGCCAGCGGACGCTCCAAGCCCCCACCAGGTCTAGCTAGAGCTTCCCACAGCCGCCCAGTCCCACCCGGCCACCCCCCGCATGCTGACGGGAAGATGAGCGTCACCGACCGGCGTCCCTTCAACGTCCTGGCCGTCATCTTCCTCTTACTGTCCACTGCAGGTGAGACCCTCTCCTGCTGTGGGGGGGGGCAGCTCCGGGGTGGGGGGGGGCAACATCACTGCTTGTCATTACATCTAGGGCGAGGTTAATAAATGCATTTATATACAGCTTCTCAAAGTGGAAGTGCCCAAAACTAGACTGGTCCAGTAGCTGGTCCAGGTGGACCATGTTGCCAAGGCAACAAGAGGACCTCCCATCACCCAAAAGTCCCAACAGAAGGGCGATTACGTGGCCCCTCACATTAGACCCAACTTTATATGATCTGTCATCACTGAGATACAAAAGTAAGAACGAAAACAACTAGAAAGGATTCGACTGCATCTCAAATACCTGCCTGCCCATTTATGTTTGTATATTTTGTCTAAATACATCAAAGCAAGTTCCAAAGCTTCACTATGAGCTACTGCAACAGGCCAAAGCAAACACACCAAAATGAAGTCACAGTCGGCATTGGGCTTAGCTTGTGTCACTGTGCTCCTCTTTTGTGTTGATTCTTGTGCCTTTAATACATGCAAGAATGCTCTTTCAATCAGCATGCCTCTTTGACAGTGAACAGAGCCATGTAACACAAGGCCTGACTTCTCATTTACATTTTTATTTTTTCTGAACAGGGCATACACACATAAACCTGCCCTTTTGGGGTAGAAATGCTGCATTGGTCTGCTCGTTACGGCTTAACGAGGCTCTGGGGTGACACAAAACACAGTAATATATTAACAAAATGGGAATCGGTCAACTGAAAAAATCTATACTAATGTTTACAGTTGATATGAGTTTCTAGCATGTAATGAAAAATACATTAAATGCCACATTTGCAATAAAAATAAAGCTTTTTAAACACAATTAAGTGGACAGTAACCTGTCAGCATGTTTGTGAGTCTCTGCTGCTACTCATTAATGCAGGTTTAATGAGCTCAGGAGAGACGGTGGGAATTGGGGCTCCCTGATTGGCTGTTGGTCTGAAAGTCACCTGGCTCGCAATTTATTGCTAATTGTTCCTTTCCTTTAAAATGCACTGCAGAGGACTATAATGAATACTATTTGGCTGTTTTAAATGCTTGCTTGAAAGCTGGGAGCCTTGGCAAGATTTGCTTTATACCTGTTGTCATTTTTAGGTACATTTACCTTGGCGCCTTAGCCAAAAAGATATTTGGGCATATGCTAAACTTGATGCTCTTTAATTCATTGAATCTTGCTTCAGGATCCTCCAGCAAATGAAACCAACTCCTTGATCATGGTATTGACTGACTTAACTCCGTTACCTAGCGATCCCATGCCTTTTAATACCACCTGGTACCAGCTAAACCTGTTCAAATGACTGTACGTGACCCAGAGGCCTCTCTAACCTTTTCTTTACTATTCCACACGCTTGTGTGATGCACTCTCTTTGGAAAATGGGTCCCAGATATGACGTCTTGTAGGTTTTGCCTAGTGGTCCTGCTCTCATGGAAGAATCACCTTGAACTGACACCGAAGGTTTTCTATCTAATCAGACCCGATCTGGCATAAAGTGGATGTCATTTACAGGCCTGAGCTGATGCAGAGTGAGATGTACGGCCCACATGGACAGTGTCTTACTATTGTTTAGTACAGGGTTGGCCAGTCTTATCCAGAAAGGGCTGTTGTATGCGGGTTTCTCTGGGTGGGTTTTTGCTGTAACTCCCTAATTAGATTACTAATTAGAGGGCTGATTGCCAGCAGATTCCTCACACCTGGGTTTGAACAGCTGACCTAAAGGTTATCCCACATATCTACATACACTGGCCTTTTGCAGATAAGATTGGCCGGTGCAATTGGTGCAATTCTAGATTTTAAGTTAGGGGGCAAAACAGAGGCCATAATTCATACAGAGAGGCCAACCATATCATTAGCCAATGACATGTTTCGAATTGGTGAGTGACAGGAGAGTGGCACTGTACAGGCCAATCAGCTTTCAGCTGGGACCAATTTAGTAACATTAGGCGACTTTGGTGTGTGTGTGTGTGAAGCCGAGTCCCCGACTAGCCTTGCTGCAGGTGGGATTGAAGCAGTGAATGCAGCTGGAGTTAACTGGCCGTCGCAGTGTCAGTGATCCGACCTCGACTGAAAGACAAAACAAAAGAACAATGAAATATTAAAGCCGCTTTCCCAGCCTGCTAGCGCTGTTTGTCGCAGACCTGCTCTGCTCACTCCAGTTAACAGGCACAGCAGAGGGAGGTGCACCGAAGTAGTCTATTATAGTTATTGTCTCCCTCCCAAGGGGCGAGAACAAACACAGGGAAAAAATAGGAGCGGGGCAGGTGGGAGAGACGGAACAAAAAGCCGTCTGTTCGACATGTGATTAAGAAAAGAGAAACGGCCCTTTTTACATTTAGCTGGGAAATTGGCTGGAAAATGTTGAGGTTAGTATTCAGGTTAACTACAGGGGGGGACAAAAAGACAGACACACACACTGCGCCCACACACACTGCGCACACACACACTGCGCACACACACACTGCACACACACACACTGCGCACACACACACTTGATCACAGAAATAAGGGACACTGGTTATTTACAGAGGGCTTGTTCACAAAGGGATTGTTCATCGCCTGTGTCTCAAACTAACCTAACTAAAATAGTTTAAATGCACAAACCTTGGAATTATTCTTAGAATTTTAATAAAGTATATTTAAATCATAAGTCAAATACACCCATATTTTTCTTTTTAAAAATATCTAATAATATTCGATTCTGAGGTTGTGTATATAAAGCCCCTGGTTATAATACACTCATAATAATATTTTCTCGATCACATGTCTGCCAAAAAAAGTCAAGGGGAGTCTTGGGGAAACACGAGCACTTTGCCCTGTCAGAAATTCCTCAGAAATGTACCCCAAAAAAACAGGAGTTCCTCACACTTGGTTGTTCCACTTTGAGCTTCTTGCCCTCAAAGCCAGAAGCTTCTCTGAGCCTAACCAAGGTGCTTATTACCCCGAGTGGCTCAGAACTCCTCCTAGGTCCTTCACTTGTCCTTCTCTCACTGAGCGTGTCAAGATTTTTCTTTCATGAAGTGCTTTCCACAAACAGAGGATGACCTGTCCTTGAGTCGTATCCAGCTGGATCGCAAGGCTTAGTCATATCAGGACGGCCTCTAGATTACATACAAGCGACTCTATAAGCTGAATTGTTATGTACAAAATAATTACAGAAAAAAATTATACCATGCATAATGAAAAATAGAGTAGACAGCTTTTAAATCTTTTATTTATAGTTATGTATTGGGTACAGTCAAACATCAAATCAGTGACCAATTAGGTGACATAGATACTCACCTTGGGCGCCATTTTCTGAGGTGGCACTGACTCAACATGCCCATTTCACTTTGCCCCACACAGGGGGGCAGCGATAGGTCTTGCCAAGGGCCCCACATGGACTTCAAGCAGCACTGAGTGGCACCTTCTGTAACATTCTACTAGTTATTCTATTAAACTCAGCGCACCAAACCTAAGGTTCTACTTCTGCTTGGTAATAGTTGAACTCACGGTGGTCTCAGACAACGATGCCGCTAGCTATTAAGATTTGTAATTGTGTTATGACTCACCCTATTTCATAAGCCTATGATTAAAAAAAACGTTTATAAATGTCTGTCTTGCATTATATTCTGCCGCGGCAGTGTCCTGCTAGGGCCCGGCTAAATGATTTTCATTGTTTTAGACCTTTCCGAAGGAATTTTCTGGCTGTTAGGTGATCTCTGTGCCTTTGCTGATTGCCATCAAAAACACATATTTAAATGTACTGCCAAAAAAGCCCTTTCAACATCATCTAATAAGCAGAAATATAGTAGCCCATTGCCGGTTTCAACTTTCAAGCCAGAAATTAAAAAAGAACAGAACTTGAAACACATTGCAGTCCTTGAAGGGAATTGCACATTTGCGCACCGGCCTTTAAACGTGCGTTTCAGCTTGTATGACTGATCAGTCAGTTGGAGGTAATTGTGTTGTTTTAGCTGGCGATGGCATTATGGTTTTTCATTTTTGTGTGGGAGGTGACACCTGAAGATGTTGGGGAGATAAAACTCAAGAAAAACTTGCAGAGATAGTCAACACCTGCCTCTTGCAAAGGCTTGTTGGTTCCTGCCGGGGTAGAATTGTCTTTAACGCGGCCCAGTGAGAATCAGGCCACTCTGGAAGGACTTCCCATGTTCTTTTGCCATAACTGGTTATGGGATTCACTGCAACATCCATCTATATGCAAATGACAGCAGGTTCTCCTTTTAGCTAATGCTAAAAGGAGGCGCCATGGATCCAGTCTGTCATTACACAGCTGAGCTTCCTGCTTGAATGCCAAGTCAAGCATCCATGCCTGTCAAATATGTGAAGGATATAAAGGTAGAGAGCTCCTCTTAAGCATTTAAGCTGCATCAATGATGCATCTGTAATATTTCACAGCATTCCTTCTGCCAATGAACTTGTTGACTTTTTCCTTTGGCTCTATAAGGTGTGAAAGTGATGTGAAATTAATCCAGATCCAAGCATGAAGATTTCACCCATTTGGCTGGGCACTGAAATATCAGTAGGGGGGAACAGCAGCACTTTCATTCACAGGACAATGTTCGTTGATTCAGGGGGCCCAGCACTTTACAGGGGCCCTACCCAGGGGTGCAGTAGGGGCATGGATACCCTGGCAGATTCAGGGGGCCCAGCACTTTACAGGGGCCCTACCCAGGGGTGCAGTAGGGGCACGGATACCCTGGCAGATTTGGGGGGCCCAGCACTTTACAGGGAATTTCCTGCCGTTCTCCTATTCCCCAAAAGTGACTGTTTGTGGTCAATAGGGGCATATCCTAAGGAGGTCCGTGCCAATGTAATATTTCGGTGGTGGAAAACACTAGACCCACGATGTAGCGAACTAGCTTTTGTGCCACGATGAGGCCTTTCCTACACAGTGTAACATGATTCATACCCTCAGATTTTTTGCAGCGAACATGCAGTTAAAGTCAGTCATGTTTTGGTTTCGCAGGTGCAAAATAGATTTTGTGGGGTTTATTTAATCTTCTGCTTATCTCATTATGTAAATAAGTCCAGTATATTGAATCTGTACCCTTGGAAAAGCTTCAGAAAAAGCATTTGTAGCCGCTGTCATAAATCTAGATGAACTTAGATGACAAAGCGAACATAATAACAAACTCTTACATAAGTCTGTGCGTTTGTCTGTATATATGTAACTGTGCATTCAAATAGCTCTGCAATCCTTTGCTTTAAGTGAACTGTAACAGGCAGTTAACAGTACGATAGAAGATGAATTGTCCCAGCATGCAAGCAGTTAAAGTCAGTAACAACTAATGTCATTTAACCATTGTTCGTCATGTGTTCTTGTGCGTAGTTGCAGACAGGACAGACAAATAAAATGGTTCTACTTCCTAGGTCACACTAAGAACCGACCGCACTCATTAACATGATAGTAGAGAATTTTTGAAAAATAGGGAAGTTTTCCTCTTACACACAGTTAAATTAGCCCTGCCCCACCTATCCATGGTTGACACTGAATACAGAGGTCTGACTGAGTCTATCCAAACATACTGGTACAAATGATCAGACAGCAAATGTAGTAATTGTCTGTATATATATCAGTATATATATCAATATCAGTAAACTATCGGATTTGAGATATGAAGGGAAAGAAGGGCATCGTCTCATTTTCCCTCTATTTCCATGACAGAGACACCTGTCCTTAAAACTTTAAGGAGAGGTGACCAAACTGGCCGATCCAAATGCACCAGTTCTAATCGCGTCCCCAGCACCAGTGCACAGTCTGGCGGTTTAGCCTTTAATTCTCTTCCTTCGTTTCGTTGTCAGGCAGATAATCACAGGTCAATTATCAGCTGCCACAACAATATCTCAACGGCAGTATAAAATGTTGTAAAAATACAAAAGCCACAAAAATTTTAATTACAACATAGATATGAGGGGTTATATATTACAGTTTCTGAGCTGTCATATAAACTGCATATATTGCCTAGGTCTTAAAAGTAAATGTACTGCTTTGCCTTGTTCCTTTAAGCAAAACTAAAGGCTGTATAATATTACTGTGTCCAATTGATGCCATAAGTACAGCGTAGCCTTCACCGTAGCCTGACACGCACCTCCCCAAAAAATAATGGGTGAATCTCAATATGTGTGCTTGACTGTGCTTGTATTCTCATGTACCCGTTTTATGTCATCTTCCATTGCCGAAGACCAGTTCCAATACTCAAGAACAGAAGTACACGAGGACAGTAAAAATCCCCTTGTGTGGGTCTTGCTCCGCCCCAAACATTAAGGATACATCGGCTGCACCCTCACCAAACGAGACCAATCCCGCGTTTCATTGCAGCCCAAGTTCATTCTTGGACAGCAAGTTAGCAAGACCGATCTTGCCAAGACCACAAGTACAGTCTTTGCGTTCTTGGTACTGAGCTTCACCCAATATCTAAAAATCTACATGTAGTGGCTGTGATTGGTCGGCTCGGTAGCATTCGTTTGTGATTGGTCGGCTCGGTAGCATTGGTTTATTTATGTGAGTGAAGACGGCGTACATCCCAGGTGTACTTATATCACTGCTTGGTACTGATGTGATATTTATATCTGGCATTAAATAACCGACCATAAGCATCGTGGCGTCAGATCTACAAAACACTCCGGGTGCCAGCGCCAGTGTCACTTACCTCCATTGGGTTTATTGGTACTTTACAAGACTGAAAAATGTAGTTTATACCCCAACTTTAGAAGGGAAAATGCATACAAAGCTCGACATTTTTTCAAATGTGTCTACAGGAAGTTTGGAGCAGCACAGTAACCAGGACTCGGTAGATGGGTACCTTGCTAAATGTTTGTTTTTTTCCTGTTTCAGTTGTGTGATTTGACAATCATGCAGGATGGGAAGACAATAAATGCAACAAATCTACAGTATGTATCATCTAGCGTTTCGGCGGTGTAAATGCTGAGTAACACAGACACACCAGCGCACAAGTATAAATGCTCGTGACGGCGTTGGCCTCTTGCGTAGGTCACGGCGTAAGCTCCAGGCAGAAATATAAATCAGCGTTAAGTGACATCATTGCTCCTGACCCTTCTTTTGATTTCCTCCTTAGCTCTCTCGGCACACTTCCGGGTGTGTGAGCCCTACTCCGACCACAAGGGGCGCTACCACTTCGGCTTCCACTGCCCGCGCCTTTCCGACAACAAGACCTACATGTTCTGCTGCCACCACAACAACACGGCGTTTAAGTACTGCTGCAACGAGACCGAGTTCCAGAACATCATGCAGCTCAACTTAACAAGTACCTCCGATGGCCTCACGCACAAGTAGGCACCGAGTAGACCTCCCCTAAGTCCCGGCCATTAATGCTGACATTCCTGTCAAACTCCTTCACTACATCTCTAGAATGAACCGGCAAACCAGTCAGCATGACAATGGACAGTGTTACTTGTTGTGATAGATATTTGACTATGCCAGACTAGCTGCAATGTTTATATTTTGAAGTATGTTCAATATACTATAGAGCTTTTGGGATGAATTCTGCCTTGGTTTTTGCACATCATGCACACAAGTCACATTTTCCTCATAAGCTACTTGTGGTTCGGCCCAAATGACAGTGATGATATATGAGGCCTTTTTGAGGACATTGATCTTTAATGAGATCAGGTCTGGAAGGCTCTTGCCTGTGTAGTGCTCTTATTTTGATTTGGAAAGGGGGGAATTCTTTACAAATTATGCAAGAGTTAAGACTTTATTTTTTGAATGGAGTGTCTTTCAGCACACAATCAAAGCCTGTCAAGACATGACCTTGATTAGAAAGATGTCACCTGGCTGTGAGCTCGAAAATGTGGAACGGTTCCCCAGGCAAAGCAGCACATTAGAATAACTGCGTGAATCTCTCCAGTTGGGTTCTCCGACTAGAACCACATGCTGTAGTTTACCAGGGACGGGGTTTTCCGTCTCAGGGTTACGGGGACAGGCAACGATGCAGTGAAAACAATACAGAAGGCCAACATGAAAATCGAAACAAGCTGTTTCACGGAGAAAGAGAAAATAGAATTGGAGCATGTGCATTGGGGAATAACCAGGCAGAAGTCCAGAGAGGCATCTGGGCTGGCAAAGAAGCACAGAACAGATCAATTTTTACCAGTAGACAATAACAAGGGACAGGTGAAAAATCTCAGTACAAACAATTCCAGTCACATGACTGTCCCTCTCGAGATGGCCACACCCTCTCTCATAACAACCATCCTGTCATCCTGCATACCCCCTAACGACCCTTTTCATACAGTATTCATAGTCATGTCCCAGTTTATCTATGGTCTTCCTCTCAGTCACATATAGGCACATAAAAAAATCATGGGGTCTATTTCAGCAAGTAACAAAACACACTTCACAATAACTACAGGGACAGATTTTGATTTAGCTCATTAATAAATAGCAGAAGGGAAAACAACATTGTATGGAAATCATGTTTTCCAGTCTTTGCGCAAAAGGACTGTAGGGAAGAGGACAGCCAGGCAAAATACCCGAACTTTTAGATTGCAGTATTTATCAGGAATATCAGACACCATATTTCAACAGTGGGTGGAATCATTTCCTGGAAGAAGGAATAAAATAGTCTGAAGCAACAAACCCCAATCATTTATTCTTTGAAAGCAGTTGCCGGGTTTCCAGGAAACAAACTTGCTCTTTCCTGTCGCTCTCCCTGCCACAAACAGGTTTCAACAAAAAAATCCACAGCAGGAGGAGAGAAAAGAAAAAGAGCAGTCAAAGGCTTACAGTTAGGCGTGCCAGGGCTGTGAACACTGGCTTCCTTGCCAGTGCGTCCTGCCCAGTTCAGATTAATTCAGACAGAGGTGGGGGGGGCACTGCGAGATTTCATTTCTGCTTAGCAGGAAGCCTTATGTTTGGGAAGCTGCATCTACACCTTCTTGACTGGTTGTCATAATACTCCATTATTGGTTGCTCTTACTGTCATGAGTGCAGTGCCGACAAAAACAGGCAGGTGTCCCAAATTGGCGATATCCCAGCATGCCTCTCTCCTGACCTGCCACGACTGCTCTCTGAGGAGGAGTGTTCCTTTGTTTGCCCTGACTAGATCCTGTAGGGGAACCATGCAGAACACCTTGTGCTCTGCCTAAGCCTGGTGAATTAAGCTCGCAGTTTTCACCACGGCTCCAGCTTTAAAATGTCAGTCATACTGCCAGTGTCAAACTTGCTGGGAGCGAAAATCCTAGCATGTGCTGGAAGAGCTACACTGACCTGCGAATAATGCTAATTGCTATGGCAGCCCTCAGACTGCCATAAAGAGAGGCAAATTGCACCTTAAGCTGACACAAAGATTTATTATCATATCATCTCGAGATTCAAGATATTTTATTGGCCATGTACAAGAAGTGCAATGGAATGCATATCCTTTCATCAGCACCAGTGCGAGAACATTATACAAATAATCAATACAAAAGAGATACAAATCAAGTGCAAATAATGCTATCAGTAGATATTAATCAGGGACAAGTGGAGTGACAAAGTCACATGACTTTCCCTCCCAAGATGGCTACACCCTCTCTCATAACAACTCTCTGCTCTTCCTTGATACCCTTTGATGACTTTTTTCATATTCACAAAATCTCAAAAATGTACGTAACATAACAGTAGTTCAGATGTAGCTATCTCTCAGTCAACCAGTGCAAATACTCTTAAATGAGCATTATAAGTAATTAAAACCGCTTGTAATTAAAACCGTGAGCATGCAAACATTTAGTTCTCCACTTTATTTAAGATCAGCTAGATTTGTCTAAAACCGACATTTGCTGTGTAGCTCAGTTAGTCTCGTTCACTGGCTCGCTGTTTCCTCACCATCCAGACTTATGGCCTGCTCCCATTGAATCTAAAAATAATGGCTTTAATATTGATATGGATTAGGCTAATCGCCCTTGCTCGGGCTATAGATTAGTCATGCAGGTCAAAACGGTATGTAGGTGATGATTTGAGCTTTAGATAATCGCTTGAGTGGAAAGGCATTCTGGGTAATACCAAGACCCAGGGGTCTGATAACTGAGACACCGGCAAACTAGCATCCATCCCGTCCCCTTATGCCCATTTCTGACTCCTAAAGGACATCGGTATTAATCGCCGATGTCAGATCCGGATGTCCAGATGTTAAAATATCATTTCAACCTTCAGGTTCTGTGTGCCTCATGGAGGGGAGGGGGGGGGCTTAACCCCAAACTATATCTTTCTCTAGTCATCAGGGATGGGGCCGATCCAACCCTTTTCGGAGCACTAACCAAAATTTGATTGACCTACGCTGGAGACCAAAATCAGAGAACGATTTATGAACACTTGATTTTTTTCAGAAATAATGTCATTTTCATTGCTCCACATTTGAAGGAATTACTGTTGTGGCTATACCATGCTACTAGAACAGTGTTCTACAAAATAACCAAGGAAATTGAACAAAATATATATATATATATATTATTTTGAATGGAATCAAACATAAAAATTAGAGAACAGCAATGACTGTAGCATGAAGAAAGATCACAACTAAATTTTCTGAAGGCTACAACAGTCAAATATTAATATGAAGTGTACAGGCCGTTGCTTTGAATGACTTCAGCACATCTTCAGCCACAGGACATCACTCCTCTCTCACACAGCTCTGGTGAGATGTTGCTCCACTCTTCCTGCAGTCTCCTCCACAGCTCAGTGGCTGTACTGAGTTTCCTATTCATAACTTTGTCGCCAAGGATTTTCCAGAGGTTTTCTATTGGGTTTAGATCAGGACTCTGGACTGGCCATTTCATAATTTCAATGTTTTCATTTTCAAGAAACTGCTTTACCCGTTTTGCTGTGTGACAGGGGGCGTTGTCCTGCATGGAAATTGCTGGCTGATTGGGTGATGAATGCAAGGAAGGAACCACATGATGTCAAAGAAGGTTCTGATAAACATTTGCATTCACTCTGGCATGTAGCTGTATAAGAGTCCCAAGTCCTGCTGCAGAGAACATTCCCCAAACCATGACACGTCCTCCTCTACCTTTCACTGACTTAACACAGTTGGGGTTCAGTCTTTCTCCAGTTTGACGACGAACATAGTGTTTCCCATCAGACCCAACTAAATTAAACTTTGCTTTCATCGCTAAAATGAACTTTGACCAGTTCCCCTCTGTCCACACAACACGCTTCTCAGCAAAGGCTAGTCTAGCCTTCTGATTCTTCCTTCTTATGAGAGGTTTGGTCACTGCAGAATAGGCAGAGAAGATGAGACAGATCCTTACCCCATTCAGCACTTAATTGGCGAGCAATTCCAGCTGCAGTGTTGAAACGATTCATCATTGACATTCTCCGTATTTGGCCTTCATGTGGACAACCTGCTGCCGGAAGGTTCCGGTCACTTTAGAACGGCCCAACATCTTGCAAAGTGGAAAGTTAGGCTGCCAGTTAAATATGGGTTGTCAGATAATTAAGGAAATTAGCATCTGCTGCCAGATTAACAGCAGCTACTGGGAAGTATCTGAAAGTGTTCTCTAATTTTGACCAGTGTTCTTTTTCAAATATCTCATTTAAGTTATACTGTGCTTCTGAATTTATGTAACTTATGACATATGGTTAAAATACTGCTCTTTTACTCCTGCTTGGATAACTTCCAAATAGGAGAACATAGTGACTGTGACATTTAGGAAATTGTAGGCTGTTCTCTAATTTTGATCTCCAGTGTAGTTCTCATTCATCATCTTCCTTCCATTTCTGACTGGTTGATAAGATAGAGGGGCCCCTGCTTAGTTTGCTTATGCCTTGGGCCAGCCCCGATTGGGACCACTCGTTTAATACAATTAAGCCTGTGATGACAGCCATTCTGCCCCTCGATAAGACCAGCTCAGAAGGAAACGGAAGGCAGTTGTTGTGTTGAGTCACATGGTTTTGTGGCAGCTCTGTGAAGGGGATGGGGGATTAAGCAAACGAACGACAGAATCACTCTGTCATGCTACTGTTACATTTTTCCATTTCCATTTGTTATATGTACTTGTAACTGCTTCGCGGTTCAGGCTGTCTGGCTCCAACTTATATGTATGAAGATGGCTGTACGATTAACATCAAAGTGTTAACATCGCCCTCTGTATTCGGCACTTGTTATCACTGTGAAAGTCGCTCTCCTCATCGAATGTCTTTGAGTGCCTCCATAAATTCTTACGATCTTCAGGGAGCCCACAGCTAGAGTGTAACTCACTCAACCAGATTGACCTCTTCGAAGTGATTCACTGCTCCGAGAATCTGATGGGGGGCTGAAGGGGTGGGGGGGGGGCATGGCTGCTTGGGCCGAATCTTTGATATCTTTAAATGACAGTTACTGTCACCTCTTAATAAAATTCCCTAGCATGTGATTTCAGGGTGAACCTGTAATACATTCAACCACAAGCCTCAGTAGAGCTTGATTGATGACTATCAGTGTTTCCAGAATGGAAACGACGAAATAAGTCATTTTAGAGGGACGGACTGATTGGCTTCCATGACATATAAGACTATTATTCTAGCACATTGATCACCCTCTGCCTCTGCCGACAGCAACTACACGGCTCTTGTTGGCGTGTGGATCTATGGCTTCTTCGTCATGGTCTTGCTGGCCCTGGACTTCCTCTACTACTCGGCCATGAACTATGAGCTGTGCCGAGTCTACCTGGAGAAGTGGGGCTTGGGGGGACGGTGGCTGAAGCGGGCCAGGAGCCAGTGGGCCAGCGCGGCGCAGGCGGACGACGGGGCCTTGTCACATCCCATTACTCTGGCTCATCATCCCAGACACAGCCTGAGAGGGGAGGCCCAGAGTCCATCCGCCATGTCCTACCACACATCCACAGCCTGGTAAGTCCGTGGCCTGGTTCCTCTAAAAGGTGCCTGGTCTCTGCTATCATCCGCTCAAAGAGGATTAGCCTTGACCTTAGCATAGCCTTGCAGAAATCATCCATCCAGTGAGGGCACTTTAAAACACGCAGAAAGACTCAACAGAGGTAAAGCCTTAATGGAATATTACTGTATACCAGTGGCATTACTAGTATGCCATCCTGGGGTAGGAATTTGGGGTATGTTGGGCTGAGGGGGAAGGAGTATTGATGATATGGGGGCTCCCTTATGGGGGGGGGGGTCCTTGAGCTCTTATGGGAGGTGCCTGAGCTCCTATAGGGGGTCCCGGGATGGTTCTACTACATCACTAAGGATTGGTTAAATTGGGTCCATCTCTGCTGAGAGTGCAGACAATCTGCTTAGGTGGGCACTGCCCAGCCCCTTGCCCACCCATAGCCCCGCTGTGTACTGTAGCCCTGCTGTGTACTATAGCCCTGCTGTATATTGTAGCCAAACTGTGTACTGTAGCCCTGCTGTGTACTATAGCCCTGCTGTATATTGTAGCCAAACTGTGTACTGTAGCCCTGCTGTGTACTATAGCCCTGCTGTATATTGTAGCCAAACTGTGTACTGTAGCCCTGCTGTGTACTATAGCCCTGCTGTATATTGTAGCCAAACTGTGTACTGTAGCCCTGCTGTGTACTATAGCCCTGCTGTATATTGTAGCCTCACTATGTACTGTAGCCCTGCTGTGTACTATAGCCCTGCTGTATATTGTAGCCCCACTGTGTACTGTAGCCTCGCTGTGTACTATAGGCCTACTGTATATTGTAGCTTCACTATGTACTGTAGCCCTGCTGTATATTATAGCACTGTTATGTACTGTAGCCCCACTCTGTACTGTAGCTCTGCTGTATACTGTAGCCCCACTATGTACTATAGCCCCGCTATGCACTGCAGCCCTGCTGTATACTATATCTCGTGGGAGTTTTACTTACTCTTTCCGCCCTTAGAACATTTTTGTGTAAGTAAAGCTCCCAAGAGCTATACTGTAGCCCCACAGTGCATTGTAGTCCTACTGTATACTGCCGTGTCTTAGTTTGAAGTACCCAAATGGAGCTGCATCTGTTTCTCCTGCTTATATGAAACGTGCATTAAGGGAGACATTCGAGGCTCTGCCAGGTTCTTCCCGGGGAAAGACATAGCGTGTCATCTGCTGTGGGTGAACAGATCCCTAGTGACAGGATCACGCTGGCACGCGATTTCACTCCTGCCAGGACTACTGGCGCGTCTCAGACTCCCCATTGCGGATGTCTTGCTCGGTGCCTCCGCTATTCCGCTCTGCCCTGTGCCCTAAGTGCCACCCAGGGGAACACAGAGCAGCCATTACAAGAGGATGTGCACTGCAGCGGGCAGTGCGTTATCCGCGGTCCCCATCAGCGTCTCCTGAAGCTGACTCGTGGCGGTCGTCTCGGTTCAGATATGCCTCGCTGGAAGCCAGCATGGGGTATTTACTGGGTAATGTGCTAATACTGTCCCTTCCCTTTGAAGTAATCGATGCCAACAAATTTACAGAAGAAAAAACAGCTTCTTAGAATTTTTATTTCTGGATCATTCCTCCTTTGATTTTTGTTAACCATTTATTTTTTTGTTTTTTTTCTACAAATTATTGGCATAAACATTTGTCATCACCTGCCTAAAGATCGTGTATATATAAATATGTGCCGTACTGGTTTTATGATGGTGTTTGCCGTAGCCGTGGCCCTGAGTGGCATCACGCTCCCTGGCTGACCACACTCTGCATGCCTGAGGTTTGCGTTGCTAACGCTGCCTTTCCCGCTTCTCTTACTTAGAATCCCATCATAAATTCCCAGCAGGATTATGGGGGCAGGGGAAGGTCCATCTGTTTATAATAACCTTTAATTTCTCTTTCAATTGCTTTTGATAGAAGTCGGGACTTGGAGATCCGTCAGATTGCACGGTCCGATTCTTCCCCGCTTATTTTTCATACAGACAGAACGGGGGTCTGGGGGGAGACCGATGTAGAAATCGTTCGGGACGGATGCTCCATGTGAGCAGGAGCGGGGCTGGTGGTCAGGGACCCCGTACCCGCTTTACTGCCTTTAACCCCCTCGTAGACTCGGACTACCGTCTCGCTCCAGCAAAGACTTGTTGCCCTACTTTAGGAGAGTCACAAGTGTGCAGGTTTTGTACTTTGGAAATGTGAAATCCTCGACGCACAGAACAAATGACCCTTTTAACCAAACAGAATGGTGAAGTACAGTGATCTTCCTGTATCAGTCTTTCCGTTTGCAGTGGAGAATCAAAGCAGTTTATGCCTTTCACTCTGCATATAAGCCACCAACACCCTCTTTTCCCATCCAAAACCCAGGCTCCTTCTCAAAAATATATTCTGCTTGGATGCCTAAATCGACTTTTATCGACACATTGTTCACGTGTGATTTTGTCTAAGTACCTTGCAATCTGCCCTCCTTTCTGCTTCACGCCGGCATGAGTGGGGGGGGGAGTGTATCTCTCATGCACGTTCCTTCAGATGCCCCCCCTTTCCGACTGAGCAGCACCCCCACCCAGCCGCAGCCTCTGAAATCAGTCACGGCCCCGACGCAGCAAAGCCAGTTCTGGCCATTTGCGCTTTAACGGAGAAACGCTCCCCAAACGTCCTCTGGGGTCTCCTCTCTAATCCAGCTGTTCACTCTTCCGATCCCTCTTTGCTTTCCAGAAGTCGCAGGCTGGCCCCCCACCCTGGCATGCAAGGAGCTGCAATCTCAACATGTTAATGACTGCACACATGTGACGCGTTCATGTGAAGAACAGGCAGAGTCCTGGTTGCGAATTGATGCCGGTGACCACATGCAATTGGGTGTTCACTAAGGTTGAATGAAGAGACATGATAGACAGACAGACAGACAGACAGACACAGACAGACGATACATACTTGCTTAATCCCGAAGAAAATTCTATTGAAGGAAATGACATCACATGTGCTCACACTCTATGTGTGACACAGTAGCTGTTGAAACAAGACCTCCCAGGGATGTCAGCATGCAGTGTCTCTCCTTCAGACGCCTCTCGCTGTCACAAATACCGCAGTTTCAGCAGAGTAATATCTGCCAAGCCACCACTACCTCGGCATGTGGCTGACACAGGAACACTCCTGGTCCTTTGTCTCCATGTTCTTGACTGTCAAATTAGAGCAGACACCTGCGAAACGGACTTGTGAGGCAGACTGAACCTTCGTAGTCTCCTGTTAGCCTGATCCAACGGTCTCCTTTTGGTACATTTACCAGTTGCCCATTGACTCATCAATCCCCTGCCTTTGTAAATCTATACCCAACTCTTTCTCCTCAGGGCTCGGTGATTGAAAAGCCTAGAGCTATTCTTAAACAGAAATTGCGATTGATGTTTACATGTGAAAGCCTGCCACCTTCAACAGGAGATGAATCTCGGAGCGCGAGTGACAGCTTAAGGTTCACAGTTTAGTAGTTTTGCTACTAGAAGCTGTTGTTTGTTCCCCAGAGATTTTGCAGAATAAAAAAATAACCCAATGTGTTCTGGGCCCAGCTGCTTTCTTTGTATAAACCCAAGTCGTTAACTGCTGCGCCACCTGCTGTCCAGTAGCTGCAAGATGAGAACATTTTTAAAGGTGGAATGCAGATCTGTTAAAGAGGTACTTCCCTGGTATTTCAGTCCTAACCCAAAAGGACTGCTTTTTTCAGAGTCATCTGAAATAGTTGCTCTTTGCAGAATTATCCGTCACACATTGTGATACGATCCCCTGTTAGAGCTGGGATTCTGAATTCCCCCACAGTAGTTGGTTATTGTCGTTTATTTACATGCATTTCTGCTGTAACTCGCCGTAACAGCAAGGAATGGAGCTTTGGAAACATGTCATTTTGATGTCTTGGCCGGAACTGGGAGGTATAAAACGCTTATGTGACGTAAGGATTACAGCAGAGTGCAGCAGATATGGGTGGCATGGCAGCAGATGGCATATGGAGGGCGCTAGCGTGCTGAGAATGCAGCTGCCACCTGTGATCTCTCACCTGTGTCCTCTGTGACACTGACCTCTATCATGGGGTTTGGAAATATGTTCCCACTGCAGTGTCCAAGCAGGAGCCGCGAATATGCAGATCAAGTGCAAAAATTCCCTGGTGCGATACGGACATAGCACTTGTTGTTTGATCATACCGAAGGGATTATTGGCAGGACTTGGAAAGATGAAACAGGTTGGAGGCATGTTGTGGAATCTGTCTGATGGTGTGTGCAGTCCAGCGGTGAGATTGTGTGGCATTTAGCGGTGCAGGCGGGCCGGGGGCGTAGCGGTACGCCGTGTGCGCATTGGGTCGTAGAAGCAGCAGGTTGCCTGGCTTGGCTTTGCAGCAGATCCTAATGAAAGGGCATCTGTGGCCTGACTCTGCTGCTCCGGGTGCCAGGACGACGCGACCCGCCTTCAAGAGGCATCCTGTGACTCACCTCCGCCGTGACACTCAATATGGTCTCATAAGAGGCCCGGGCCAGCCACAGGTCCGTCACCACCGGCGTCTGACCGGTGACGCCGAGAGGGCTGGGACCAGTTCCAGCCCGTTTAGCTCTGCTGGAGAAACCGCACCACTGCAGGTCCCATGAGCTTCTGGTAACTGGGTTTGCACGGTGATGGACCCTTGTCCCTAGGTTGTAAACACCTGAGCCTTTGGAAGGAAGCCAAAGAGCAAAGATGGCCAATCTCAGTCTCCTAGGACCTCAGAGTTGTTTCTCAGTTGATCATTAATCTGCACCAGAAGCACCTGGTACGTCCTTTTCTGAAAGGGGACTTTAGAGTGCTGGTTGCTGGGGGTGAGAGAGAGTGAGCACCACTGCATCTGCCTTCCCCGGGGAAAGCGGTTAGCCACCCGCGCGCTAATGCAGCTGCTTCGGCTGCTTCCCCGCATCACAGACATCGTCCTGCTCCGATTCGCCGATCGATTGAATTCCTGGCTGGCTGGTGATCAGACTACTTCAGCGTACGATTATCGGGGCCTATTGAAGTCTTTATTACTGACTAACCCCCATTGCGGCCGATGCCTAATCAGCATTTCGCCGGTTCAAGGCCCAGGGTCGGGGCCTTAAGCAAGGCCCTTAACCCTGAAGTGCTCCAGGAACGGTCTGACCCTGCTTTCTCAGCTGGATGTCATTCTGCATGAAAGCATCTGCTAAAAAAATGTGAATTTGTTCCATTTCTGGTTCCTCAGTCAAATTCCTTTAATCCAGACAAAAATACTCAGTTCTATTTTATTAATATGTTGAAGTCACTTTCCCTTAAATTAATAAATGACTCACCATACTTCAGGCATATTAATAAATGAAGAAAATAAAAGCAATTTCGTAGGGGTCCCAGGGCTCGTAGTGAGACGGTAACGATCCTGAAAGCTCCGGCAGAAATTCAAACTCATTAAAGAGGACATCTTTCTGGTAATGAAACCTCACAGAATAAACAAGTTAAGCCTAAAACCCTTTCGTGCTTTCGGCTGTCCTCAGACCATGCATTTTCTATCACATGCTATCGATTTAAATCCGCACTCAGCTTTGTTAAAAAAAAATGTCTGAAATTTGTCACCGCTTCAGAGATGGTCCTTCAACTTGAGAGGTGGTTACATAATGTTAATTACTTAAAGAAGCCTTAATTACTTAATTACCACTCCTGTTACTCAGTTTCCTTCAGTACATGTTAGTCTTCTGTATTCCCTAGTTATAAATAATTTCCCTATTATGGCTTTTTGCAGGATGTCAGTCTTTAGCTCCCTCCCTTCACCATGGACTCTACTCAACAGTAGTGGTTCTCAAGCTATTTTTATCCAAGGACCCCCTGTGTCCATGAAAACATGTTTGCCTCCCTAACCTGGTTATCGATAAAAATTTGATATAGGCTACCACCCAAGCTTATCTTCAGCAATGTAATTTTTTTTCAACACTGTTCAAATAAATAGCGTGCCCCCCCCCCCCCGTTCCACACTGAGGCCCCTTAGTGGACCACAGGCACCCCGGTTCAGATCCACTGTTCTAGAGCCCCTATAGGATTGAATGGATCTCTTGGACCAGGATCCCTGGGATTATATGGGGACTGATGCTGCGTTCCATTTACCTCTGAGGTCGGAACTCGGAACTGGGAATGATGTCACATACGAGTTCCAGTACAGAAAGTCGGAGAGCCGTTCGGTTTCAAAAATCAAGATTTCTCGCTTACCCGGATTTAATTTAGCCCAGTTGAAACGGCCTGTATCTTTGTTCACTTCCATTTAGCTAAGACTACTTTAAATCCGACAAGCTGTCCACTTTAGCAAGAAATTCTGCTTAATGAAACGGGCCCTGGTTCTAGTCTGGTTAATTGTTAGCAATATCAGTGGATAACAACACATTATGCTGTATTTTGTGCATAAAAACACCGTAGCAACACGATATGATAATGAGCCACAAATAAAAAAGTGCTAATAAACAGCATAAAACTACAGCTTTAACATCTGCTGATAAAGGTCGCAGCCATCTTGGATGCTAAGCTCGGCGTTGCATTGATTCCTCCAAGTTTGCGAGTTGAAATTCCGACTTCAGGGAGCGTTCCAGTTGAAATTTCCAAATAGGAACTCGGAACGAGTTATGAGTTGAAATGGAACGCAGCGTACATTAATGCGACCTTTACTGAGCTGTGACCAGGGACCTCGGGAGTCTGTCACTAAGACTCACACACCTTCTCTACGAGTGATGCCAAGCAGGCCTGAGGTCCTGCTTTATGAAGCAAGTGCCACAGCAGAACTGTCAGAACAGATCAGCACAAGCATATCAGCCATACCGAGTCACCAGGAGTGGATTGGGGTGCAGGGGGTGGGGGGGTTGGATTCTCAAACATATCTATCCGTAAAAGTGATTTCCCCCCCCCCCCTTCTCTTCTTTCCATCAGAAAGATGCTAAGATGACATTGTACAGCTGTGAAACCAGGGAGAGGACAATCCGCAGCGACACCACCAAGGAACTGGCCTCCATCTTCAGCAGCTGGGACACCCTGGTGGATGGACCCCGTATCTCTTCCTTTTAGCTGTCCCTCTGGGTGCCTGATAAAAGTATCTCACCTGGGTAAAAGGAGCTGGGAAGAGGCTCACCCAAGGTTTGTGATTTTGGATGGGACCCCGAGTACTTGGCCTGTGGGGCTATTTTTTTTTTTTGTTTGTTTTTTTTTGTTTTTTTTAACGGGAACAGCGCCACCTCTCTTCTGCCGGCAGGCGTGACTCCAAGATTTGCTGGCACGGTCGGGAGCAGCGTTCTACAGCACTCTGCGAAATGGGGTTTTATAACCAACAAGAAGGGAAAAAAGATTGTGTCTCAGCACCATATGGGTTGTCATTGTCCTACTCTGTTCCAGGTATGGATAGTTATTAGAATTTGTGGTAGGATTTTTTTAGGGGGGGGGTTTAATCGACGTGAGGCTGTCAGGGAAGGAGAGAAATGTGAATCTGGAACATCGGTAAAATCATAAAGGTTATTTCTGCTTCCAAAATAAAACAAAAAAAAAGATTTAATACACCCATCAATACATGAAATATGAATTATTTTGCCTCCCTTTAATGCAATACAGGGCAGACATATTTGAAACGACTCTGTCTCTCGTTGCTATGGTAGCCAGATTTACAGGGCTACGCTTGGTCATCAGTTCACTTACTTGAAACACTGGAGTGGTTAATTCCTGTTAACAGTAATTGGATTTGCGATGCCAGAATTGCCCAAATCACGAAATAATTAAAAGGGAAAAACATGTTGGAAAAACAAAAGTAGATTGGACCCCGATGTTGTAATAAAATGTGTCTGACTACTAAAATTCTGGAGGAGACGCGGTGAAGGATGAGATAGCGTAGCGTTAGCCGTGACCTTGGAATAGGTAATAGTGAATGTCGTATCGCTGTTGCCGTGTTGTAGAGCTCTTATTGACTTTAAGCAGAAAGTGATACAAAGTGCTACGCTCCTGTGAGTAGTGTAATGTGTCTGTATTCTAGTACCTACTTGATTTAGAAGGATTATACGCCATCGTGTTGAGTAACTGTGGTTCAAAGGGAAATTGCAGTCATTCGATCTCGGCGCACACTTCTTCAACGAAACTCAGTCAAGCACAGGTACTCTACTGAACATGACAGGGGGCTTTCGGGCCGCTGTAAGTGGCTTTTTCTCATGATCATGTCACTTGCCACTTTATAGAAAAGGACTTCCCACAGAAGCCTTCTTGGGTACCTGTGTTTAAAAGGAAGAAATACATGTAGCAGAGAATGAAAATACTATATGCTGCAGACGGATGTTATAAATTAGGAAGCAGTGATCACTGTACTGTAGGTGTGAAAGGCAGCTCTTATCCAAGGTGCACTGATGTCCACACTGTAGATGCTCTTAGAGGGAGCATGAGTGTGGTTGGGCCTGGTCCCCATTGCTGTCTGTTCTATGGCTGTGTGGTGAACACCAGGGCCGGAGCCACAGGGGCACTAGATCCAGCTGATTGGTCCTTGGAGTCCCTCCATCCCTGTCATTGGCTAATGATAAGGTTGGTCCCTCTGTACGAATTATGGCCCCAAATCCTAGAATTGCCCCTGGTGACCTCTGTTTAAAGGTCAATCTCTCATTAAAACAGCAAGGTGGAGGTGGGGCAGTATGTAATAGTCTTTGAAGACTTTGATCCTTTCCAGCACAACTGAAGGGTGAAGAGCAGCAGAGTTGATTAATAATGACAACAAGAGGACACATTCCTCTACCCCACCAGTCACACTTCTACGAAACTTAGTATTATGGGTGTCAGGGATTTATAGATGAACGCCTGAGTAGCATGTTCTTAAACACCACTGAAATGTCACCGAAACAGCGTAGGAGAGAGATTATGACTCTGAGAAGCCCAGCTTCTGCACAGAGCTGACCAGCTAACTGCATGGCGAGCATAGAAGCACCCAAGCCAGAAGGAGAGAACCCTCCCGCTCTGATCTGTGGAACATCTCAAGGCCTGAAAGCTTCTGCAGTTACTTGTGTACCTGCAGGGGGCAGGTAGAGAACGGAGAACGGTTTGATGAAGAATAGGAGCGATGCAACCCGATCAGACCTCACTGACCTGGCGTAATAAGGCCCAACACACAGCCCAGCATCAGCCTGGTGGGGGGGGGGGCACTACTTGAACGAAATATACTGACAAATACCACCTCACTGGTCCAATAAAAATCTCGTTTATGTATTTGCCTAACACCACCCAGAAGGTATCTTTCACGAATTTGTACAGCCGTATATTTCATTAATGCAGTCCGGGCTAAGTAGCACTCAAGGGTACAACAGCATCACCCTCCGTGTGACCTGAAACCTCTTAGTTATTTTATCAGTGGCTTCAGCATTATGCTCTCAGTCTGGAATCTGAGTGGGAGAGGGAGGGGGAAAATCTCACATTAAAACTTAATAAATAAATGGCTTCTCGAACTTAATGAGATCCTTTAAAACATTCTTATGTTGTTAATGTTTGTGCTGCGCCTCCAGGTTCCTGAAATTCTGCCCTGGAGGTAGAGGTAATGATACTAGCATTCTGGGTAAAGGCCAGCAGTCGGCCACAGCAGGCTCGTTCATCTGACAGAGACAACGTAGGCTTCGTTTTATCAGCTACAGTCCATCCGAAGTTCTCGTTAATGAAAGTTTAATTACTTATATGGCGTTCTTTATTCCCAGTGGCGAGAGCGGCTGATCGTCTTCAATCTCTGTGTGGTCTGTGTTCAAATAATAGGCTGGTGTGTATGACGGCGGGTGTGCGGGGGTCTATGGCTTATGGCCCACCCCCTCAGAAACCACAAGGCCTAGACAATCCAACTAGAGTAGAAACGTCCAACTGCCCCGACTAAAAACGGACTGAATCGAGATTCAAAGCTGCAGTTAAAATCCGTCAGATATTGGGTGTGGTGTCAATGTGGATCAGTGCTTTTGGTGTTAATGGGCAGCAAGTAGCTGGACTCCCCCCCCC